CCTCTTCTTCTCACCCCCGACCTTTGCCCTATCTCCTGAATAAACCCCACTTGGAACCATTTGGTTTGATGTGGTCCGCTCTGAGCAGTGCATGGACGTATATCACTTGGCACTTTCACTGATCCATCCTCCTTCTGCCATCCAATCTCAGATTTGATCCATCTTCTTCCTTAAATCTTGTTGAGTGGTAACTACTTTCCTAAAAACTCTATGTATATTTAAAGTATATATTCTGTATACTTAAGATTATAAAAAGTTGTCTGTGTATAATATTTTATTTTTTATCACTTAACATTGTGTTGCTAAGGTTAAGTAATATTATTTCATTAATCTGAGAATAAAATATATCATATTTGTTGAATGAACATACCATCATCTATCCTCTGTTTCTGGGCAGTTTAGTGGATTCTTAATTTTGTTGATAAAAACAATAGTATAATAAAGGTCTTTTACAAATATTCTGTTATGAGTGGAGGAATTCCTCTTGATTACACATACATGCCCTCCCCCCACAAATTTACACATACACAGGAACTTAGAATTTACCTGTTTCAAGTATTTGAACTCTGCTGGAGGTGCAATAATATGTAAATAATCATACAATTGAAAAATAGAAGTTTTCTTTCTGTTCATTATTTCAGGTATATTATTCATTTCAAAACATGCTAGTTGTATGTAGGATAATAAGTAATTAAAATGATATATATCTTACTTTTGGATGATTTTCCCCTAATTCTTCTCTTATATGCTTTCAATCCAGAGATATGATATGTAGTCATTATGGCCAGTTTATTCCTCTCTTAATATACCACCACAAGAATGCCAGAACGAGAACACACATAAAGTTTCCATTTATCCGAGGTCTTGCTCAGTCCAGAAAACACTTCTCATGCCAAGTGACTTTCAAAATGTCTAAGAACTTCCACTGACTACTCAGTTTTGAAAAGGCTTTTGTCAAAACGCACTACAATTCATGGACACATTTCCAGTTCACAATCACGGGATTGCAAAGACATATAGAAATGATCCATGCGATTAATTCCTGTAAAAATTCACTCAATTAGATTTCTGGATTTTTCGTATTTCATTCTTATTATAAGATACAAAGTTACTCCTTGTAAACCCAAAGTCATTTTGCATGTCTCAGATATTAGAAAGAACTGAGGAATGTCATTTAAGTTGGGAAGCAGAGAGGGTAGATCTTTGTGTAACTCCTCAGTCAGAAAGAGCAGTCTAGCTTGCTGACAATTTTTTATGTTTACTGTCTCCCGTTGGGATACACGGAATTCCAGGATGTGACAGCAATAACAAAAACAAGAGAGGAGCATACACACATTATCTTGACATCCTCTTCTTGCCTCTTGTTAACGGAAACAGTTCAATCCAGCACACAAAGCAAGTAAAAAAGTGCATCGGGAAGCATTAGAGATAGCAATATCCCTTCTGCTTTCAGACACTTATGAGCATGTTGCCTCTTTAAGAGGGCTAAACATAGTCTAAGTACATGATATTTACCACTGTGCGTCAAGACAGACAAATGATACATTTTATTATAAGTATGTAAAATTCTCTAAATTGCTACAAACATAAAAGAACATTCATAATTGAATGAAAAAATTTTTTAAAAAAAGATATGACATGAGCCCCTTCCTAGGTATGGTGGAGGTTTACTGTAGATGTGTGGGAGAGATTAGCAGGAATCAGGAACCACTGGGAGAGTCCAGTGTACATGACTTTGAGCTAGACTCATGTGAGGAGAAGAGGAGGGGAGGGGAGAGGGAAGAGAAGGTGCAGCAGCCAGGAGGCCAAAAGAACAAAGAGAGTGGGTAACAGGATCATTAGGACAGCCCAGGTCCCTAGGATGGAGAGTTCAGGGTAGGGGGCAGGGTATGCCAGCTAGGAGGGCCCTGTTACAGATAGGGTCCAAGGGATGCTGGGAGAACCTGGTAGCCAGTGTCCCTTTTGATATGTTAAATAGGCACCTCTGTCATTTGTCCCAGGTTAAAACTTAACAATAATGCTGACTTTAACTTCTCCCCCCAAACCTTCTGTACTGTATCCTCCCCCACTTCCAACCCAGCTGGTGTGTACGTGAAAACAAAACAGCCATGGAACCTGGAGTAGCTGATTCAACCATTTCTCAAATTACAGAATGTTATTTTCCAGTATCGAATGTGTATTACGATAGAATAGTTTAATTTTCAAAATAAGGATTTTTTGCTCTTTTATGTTCATTTTACACTTTTCTTCTATAAATGTTGGCAGATACTGTGATATTTCATGGTTCAAGGATAAAATCACACACAGATGTTCTTCGGCCTTATAAGACCATGAACTCATTCGCATGTAACCTAATAGCTGAAGAATTTTTGAGCACAAGAAGTGTCGAGGAAATCACCATAGTTAGGACTATGATGTAAATATAAATATTTACACCTCGATGTAAATATTTGCCCCAATCAGCCTACACCGGTATCTTAAAAATAAACAAATAGAAGTACAAATTAAACTTTTAAGGCAAGTGCTGACCAGAGGAGCTATTTTTCCATTGAAAATGCTCAAAGGAATTCTAAGCCCCTTGACTGGCAATTTGCATGTCTGGCTTTCCTTTAACATAGTAAAGAAAGCAAGCCACTGGTTTTAACAGTGAGGTCTCCAGCTTAGAAAGAAGTAGGAACATTCCTCTCCAGATCCTCCTCCCCCTCCCCCCCCCCAACACCAGGCGCAGGAAACTTCCCCGAAGAAGCCTGGAACAGTCTAGAAATTATCCTGACGCCAACTCCACAGTCCAGACACAAACACAATGGGCGGGTGTGGGCTTATGGTTCCTGCCCACGATCATCACTGTATTCTGAGATCCAAAGTCCAGATAAGTGTGAGCAAGGAAAGAGCCTCACTTGATCCCAGTGGCAATTTTCTTTTCTCCTGCTTATCTAAGCCGGGCATTAGACCCTCTTGGCCCCTTGTGTTCCTAGCGTTGAGGCGCCAGCTGTGTTCCTGACCCCTGAATAAATCAGGGCCACACGGAGCCTGGCAGGGCTCTGGGACACATTTCCTGTCACGGCCTAGGGAAAGCAGTTGGCCAAGGGAGCGTGGTGGGGACTTCTGGTTGTTGAAGGATGAGGGCTCAGGAGAGGGGAGGGGAGGGCACACATGGTGGTAGAAAGGACTGTAGAGGGCGGTGACTCTTGAGACAGCTGGGTGCCCTTCAGCAAGCTAGAGGACTTGGGAGCAGCTGTGTGCTCTGAGTCTCCAGGATGAGGCCGGCGCTTGCCTTGTGCCTCCTCTGTCCCGCGTTCTGGCCCCGGCCAGGGAATGGCGAGCATCCCACAGCCGATCGCGCAGCTTGTTCGGCCTCGGGTGCTTGCTACAGCCTGCACCACGCTACCATCAAGAGGAGGGCTGCTCAGGAGGCCTGCAGCCTGCGTGGCGGGACTCTCAGCACCGTGCACTCTGGCTCCGAGCTGCGAGCTGTGCTCCTGCTCTTGCGTGCAGGTCCCGGGCCTGGCGGAGGCTCCAAAGACCTTCTGTTCTGGGTGGCTCTGGAGCGCAGTGTTTCACGGTGCACCCTGGAAAGAGAGCCTCTGAGGGGTTTCTCCTGGTTGCACTCGGACTCGGAAGACTCGGAGGACAGCACACTACCGTGGGTGGAGGAGCCACAACTTTCCTGCACTGTTAGAAAGTGCGCTGCGCTCCAGGCCACCAGGGGAGTGGAGCCTGCCGGGTGGAAGGAGATGCGTTGTCACCTGCGCGCCGACGGCTACCTGTGCAAGTACCAGTTTGAGGCTCTGTGCCCTGCGCCTCGCCCGGGAGCCGCCTCTAACTTGAGTTTCCAAGCTCCCTTCAGACTGAGCAGCTCCTCTCTGGACTTCAGCCCTCCTGGGACCGAGGTGAGTGCGATGTGTCCCGGGGACCTCTCCGTCTCATCCACCTGCATCCAGGAAGAGACAAGCGCACGCTGGGATGGGCTTTTCCCCGGGACCCTGCTCTGCCCCTGTTCTGGGAGGTATCTCCTTGCTGGCAAGTGCGTGGAGCTCCCTGACTGCCTAAACCACTTGGGAGACTTCGTCTGCGAATGTGCTGTGGGCTTTGAGCTGGGGAAGGACAGACGCTCTTGTGAGACCAAAATGGAAGGACAGCTAACCCTCGAGGGGACCGAGTTGCCCACCAGGAATGTATCAGTCACTCCAGCAGGTCCTATGACAAACAGAACATGGACAGGTGGGGTCTATGACAAGCCAGGAGAGGTGCCGCAGGTCACTGGACAAGATGGTATTGCGATGTCTGATCCTGAGATTCTTCAGTGGGGAACACAGAGTACTTTACCTACTGTTCAAAAGACCCCACAAACCAAGCCAAAAGTCACTGTCACGCCATCAGGAAATGGGATCCCCACACTGAACTACACATCTTCTTCCCCTATTTCTCTGACTTTCGACTCCTCCTCCACGGTGGTCTTCATACTTGTGAGCATAGCAGTAATAGTTTTAGTAGTCTTGACCATTACAGTGCTGGGGCTTTTCAAGCTCTGCTTTCACAAAAGCCCTTCCTCCAGGACAAGGAAGGGAGCTCTGGACTCACGGGGTGTGGAATGCGATGCTGAAGCCACCTCTTTGAGCCACAGTTCTGCACAATGCACTGACACTGGAGCGAAGGGTGGGGACTGTGGCCTGAGGGGCTGAGCTGTGGGTCCTTCACTGACTTGGGCCCTCTCTTGGATCGGGACACACTTAGGGCAACAGCTCAGTGCTCACATCTTGTGTAGACTTTTTCAGTTCCAAAAAATTGGGGGAAAGAAGAGAATTTGCAATGATTACTGTGGAAGTTACCCTTCCCATAAATTCTCTTTATCCCACTAAGGAGCTAAATTTGAAAGACACACTCATCCCCTGAAAGTGGAAGAGGTGGAGGCTGTGGGCTGGTACTGGGGGACAGGGTGGAAAATGGCAGGAGACATTTTTCTGTGTTCTGGGGGAATTTGGAGAAGAGATTGAATATTTCCAGTATTGGGAACAAATAAATCGCACTACAATTTTTGGAAGGCTTATTTTCATCCAAAAAGAGAAGGAAATATCTATATTATTCAGGCTAGGAATACATTAGCTTGAAATTTTCGGGAAAATTATAGAACATTGCTGAGAACCTAGACTAACTCATGTTTGGCTTATACAAAGTGTGCTATTTAGGAGTATGATATTCTGAGGGCAGCAACTGGCTATGGGGTATACTGGGAAGACACAAGGGTACATTCTGTGCTTTGAGGGAAAAGTCCTTATACCTAGCTCCTTCAGAACCAGTGAAGTTTCCCTTTATTTGTTTATCCTTTGCTTTCAAAGTCATTGTGACTGTGCTCTGCTATAAATCCTAAGTGCAATGTTGCCTGTTTCTGACTCCAGAAGCAAATTACAGTTGACCACCAATCCAAGTGTTTACTGTGTGTCCTTGCCCAAGGAAACAAATGATTTGTGTCTTCCCTTTCCAGTGTTTGTGTTCTCCAGTGTAATGACCTTCCTCTTCAAGCCACCTTGTAGACATCAAGATGCCGACCCTCACTTCCAATTACGATGATGTTAATTCTCAATTAAAACCTTAATGCTAAGTATTGATTTGAAATCCTCTGGGTGCGTTAAAGCAAAAGGAAGCTTGGCTTCTTCCAAAGATGCTAGATTCTTGTGCCCTATTTAATCCATGGGGGCAGAGAGGTGGAACACTTGAATGTCAAGCTATTTCTGTTCCTTCTCAATAGATTGTGAATACAATGACAATGTGTGTGCATCAGGGGATTGTTACAACTGAACAAGAGTCTTAGCAGGCAAAACTACTGGAAGTGGCTTTCCACAGAATTAGCAGTGTAAAAAAAAGAAATAATAAATGAAAACCTAGCATCTTGTTATGACTTGAGATGTTAGCATATAATTAAAGAAAAAGTCACACATTCAGGTGGTAAATAATTAAGGCATAATTTAAAAAAAACGATCTAGTTGAATCCAAAGACCTTGGAGAATATTTCAGTTAGAGTGCTGAGATTTTTGTAAGTGTTGTAAAGTTGTTGTGTGAAGAGAAATAGAGAAATGAACTCATGGGAGAAAATGAAAGTAGAAAAAAAAACTTGAGCTATATTTTTCTAGAATCATTTTTATACTCTTGATTGTACTAAGAGTTGATTTAAAGTTAGCAAATAACCAATAATAAGATAACCTAGAAAATTAAGAGAGTTCAATATATAAATCTGTGTTCTAAATATGTGTTTAATGTTGTGTCACTGAAGGAACAAACTGATAGAGAGCTTATTTCACATGTTGGATATGGTTTTAAATAGTTACAGTTAAATAAAATCACAAATGAATTCAAATTAGCTGTTAAGATTCTTCAATTTAACCCAGAAGCTAACAATTACATGGGTAAATGTCTCATACCACGTTCCTCAACTCTTCAGTTACATATTCCAGTTTTACTTGTTCTTAGCATTGTGGATGTCTTCTCCACTATATGATCTCTTAGTCATGGTGACAACTATTCTAGTACAATGTGTCCTGTTTGACTTTATAACTTGAAAAGGAGCCTCACCTGTAAGTACACTGAACACACACACACACACACACACACAAGCACTCATATGCACATATATACACACATGCATAGCTACGTGCATGTGTAAATGTGTATATGCATATGCATAAACATTTTGTTATAAAGAAGGATGCCCTTATATTAGTCTTTCAGTAAATTAGAACATGCATAATTATCACATAGCATACAACAGATGACAGTGTGGATCTGGGGCTCTAAATACCCTATGTGAAGAAAAAAAAATCATTTACTTAAATATTGTCCCCTGTTATTCTCCTTTATAGATCAGAGGGGAATTAAGGAACCTTATTTGTTCATATGTTACATTACTTCTTGACAAGCCAGACAACAAAGAACTTCCTTTGATCTCTGGCTATGGTGGTGGTCTCCAGAAGTTGGTCCAATGGCAGAGTAAAACCAGTCAAGGACAGTGACATTGTCTTTGGAGTCCTTTTGAAGCTAGGAGTAACGTTCTCACAACCACTCCTCTACTTTCTAGTATTTCCTCAGTATGTTTGATGTTCATTCCTTGTCAAAGCCTTCTGCCCTCACATTCTTTGTCCAGTTTCTACCCTACACCCTGTCATTATCTTACACACTAAGATCTCTTTTTCATAAAGTGTAATGCCCATGCACTTCAGCTCTTCTCTAGACCCAGTGACTTGTACTTCATTTTAGTCATTCACTCCAGATCTACACAAATTAAGGTGACTCTGAAATTCTTCCCCATCCAAGACCTTTTCATTCGAAAGTGTTAAGACTTGTGCTTTCATAAATTTGCCTGCGATTAGAGGCAAACAGTTGCTGTTTGAACTCTGACACCATTATTTTGCTAAGTAGATGTTGTCTCAAACCTCCTTCCAAGTATTTAATGTTGTAATCATAGATCAGGGCAGCATCCAGCCCCTCTTTAAAGATGCTTCTCGCGGTGGATGGCGGTTAACAAAGAGACTCACAAAATGGTCAAAATACACAGAATAAGTGAGTGTCCAGCTGTAAGTGGGCATTTATGAGGCTTATATCATGGAAGAGGGAACAGAAACATAGTCAAAGCCAAAGTCAGGGCTGCTGTGAAGCTGTCTTTGGGACACGACAGAGCCAGTATATTCATGTACTCTCAGCAGCTGTGGTTGTGTGCATCTGCAGATGCCCCTACGTGCATCCACTTGGACAGTCCTAATTGGACTCAGTGAGATTTTTTTTTTTTTAAGATATGAGGTTGGGAAGAAGATGAGGGACTGCGTGATATAGGAGAAGATGGGGGGGTGAGGAATGGAAATGATCTAAATTACATAT